TCAATTTAGAAGGCTTGATTGCTCATGCCTGATTCCTATGCACGTGATCGAACTCAGCCCTGCATTTCCCCGAGCAATCTTTGTTTGCCACTTGGTATCTCTTTCGTGATTATCGCGTGTACTTTTTATGACTAAAACCAACCTTGGTGCTGACAAAATGAAGCGGAACTGATCTAACCACACCAAGCACGGACTCAGCATCGAGTCTTATGGGATCAAATCAGCTCAGTTACCGGCAATCCAGGGGGAGAGAGAGAGAGAGAGAGAGAGAGAGAGAGAGAGAGAGAGAGAGAGAGAGAGAGAGAGAGAGAGAGAGAGAGAGAGAGAGAGAGAGAGAGAGAGAGAGAGAGAGAGAGAGAGAGAGTAGGAGAGAGAGAGAGAGAGAGAGAGAGAGAGAGAGAGAGAGAGAGAGAGAGAGAGAGAGAGAGAGAGAGAGAGAGAGAGAGAGAGAGAGAGAGAGAGAGAGAGAGAGAGAGAGAGAGAGAGAGAGAGAGAGAGAGAGAGGGAAAGAGAGGGGGAGAGAGAGGGGGGAGAGAGGGGGAGAGAGAGAGAGAGGGGAGAGAGAGAAAGAGGGAGAGAGAGAGAGAGGGAGAGAGAGAGAGAGGAGAGAGAGAGAGAGAGGGAGAGAGGGAGAGGACTGCGGCGTGCTGATGATACGCGGTCTGTGCAGCGGGAGTGAAACGCAGCGGCCGCATTTGGTCCACGCAGGGAAGACTTCTTTCACACGCAGATGGTTTCAGGCAATTATAGGATCATGTGGTGCGTTTTACTAGCGTTATTACAAGTTAAAAAGCTCTTCAGACAAATAAACAGAGAAATATATCGAAATACCAAAACGTTGCTGTTAAGTTTGCAGGATGCACGTTGCCACAGTTGCTGTTGCAAGCGCATTTTAATTCATGCTCTGCATTTCAGTTATTACACCTGCAGATACTCTTGTGATGCCAGGTGGGCAGCCGATTCAATTTCACTACATTTTGGTGTAGGTTTAAACGCTTGCAACACCCTTTGCCTTGAGCACGACCCCGTGCCAGCATCGCCTGACCAGATGCAATGACAAGCCACAGACCCGTCTTGTCTGTCAACGCTGACCTCTTGGGAGCTCGGAGAGGTCAGTTCCCCGCTAGCTTCCGGTCACTCCCGCTTCCGGCCCACAGCCAAGGTCGCCTTCCCCGCGTCTAGGCTGGTCTCACAAGTGTTACAATTCCTTTGACTCCATCATATGGAACGGTGGGCGCAGACACTACCGCCGAATCATGGGAAGTCTTACCGCTCGATGTACCGCTACCGCCGAATCATGGCAAGTCTTACTTCTCGATCATATGGAACGTTGAGCGCAGACACTACCGACAAATCATGGGAAGTCTTACCGCTCGATATACCGCTACCGCCGAATCATGGCAAGTCTTACTTCTCGATCATATGGAACGTTGAGCGCAGACACTACCGACAAATCATGGGAAGTCTTACCGCTCGATATATGCGCACCCAACTCAGACTAAAAGACTCACAAGCTCACTGAAGCGCACGCGCCATCTCACTTAGGCGCGCGTATACTTTTCAGGCTATACTTTCATGATTCGGTTTTCTTTCAAAATGAAATGCCTTACCATTAATACTTTTTCGAAAGGCACACAGCCTAGTGCTGTCATGGTGAGCGCCATTGACTACGTCCAGCAACCATGGCGCAGCCCAGATTCGAACCCGGAATCCCCGTGCGAGCCCAGGATATAAAAAAATACAATAAAATCAGTAACCCCCTTAGAGCTTTTCCAAGTTCCTATGCGAGAACAGCACGCGCGCAAAAATACTCTCACACATGCATGCAGACAAACCTGTAGATACGCAGCAGCTTGTGTTCGTACGTGAACATAAGCATTCAAATGTGCTCACACATATGCACGCACGTTCTTGTTAAGACACATATCGGAAGACGAATAGAAATTATCACGCCTTATACTAGGCCTGACCTTATACTAGGCACGCCTTGTACTAGGCCTGCTTATCATTAATCGTCCACCGTGTCAGGGATGTTAGCCCGGAAATTCAGGACCGATTTGTGCGAGACACCGGTGCGTCGAAACAACGACGTATGCCATTGCTCTAGTGAGTTGGAAGATACGTCTAGTCGCAGCGCATGAGCGTAGTGCACAGTCGCAGTGTTGAACCTTGTTACGGCAGCTAGGTGGTGTTAACTTTTGGTGTTAAGGACAGTGGACTCACCATTGAGACTTTCAAATTTTAGATTTCCAAGAACGACCAGAATGCTATCATTTCAGAAAGCAGTTTTGAGCCCTAACACATCTAGAACACCTGGAATATTGTCACTTTGGGCTTTACATTCGGCGGTAATGCTACGGGCTTAAACGCTATCCTAATGGGAGCACCACGTTGTTCCACTTACCCCTGTACCTTTAGCATCAAAACAATTGTTCAGAAAGACCGACCCATTTAATCTGTCCACTGGCAGCATCTTCTTCATGAAACAGTTATTGTGAGTTCCTGATCACACTTAAGTATCGTGCGAGCATAATTCAGTTGCACAACGCCCACAAATAAGGCACCAATATTACGCTAAAGGGCTGGTAGTCGAAAAGCTGTTGACCTACTCAGAGTCAGCGAGGTCTCACAAGAATAGCGCGATCCTTGAATTCAGAAGCAAATCACGTGAGATCGAACATGGTTCCTCGCCCACAACACGACGGTATGGCCAATGACCGCCAAAAAATCGCCATTGACCTTTCCCTCGTTTTGGGCAGCAGCATTGTCAGCTAAATCACGGATCACTTCGCGTTTCGTCCCCTCCAACCCTGGGGTCGAGGTCAAGACGGTGCACCAGTGTCTCAGAAGTGCCATAAGCGAGCTCAGAAAAGCGCCGCACACTACACGTGCGTCAGAGGCCGACCGGGCTGCCAGTTATGCCAGCAAAAGAAGGACACTATCAGTTAGCTATAAACTTGCTATGTACTATTACTTAGCTGTAAAATTACACTGCCTTCTTGGCTTAGCTTAGCAATGACAGATTGCTTCATTTTAGAGCATTACGCACATGATGCCTTAATTCAACAACGCGTGCCACTGAACCGATCATACTGCATCGTGTTCTCCCACATATCTTACAGAGGGGAAACGAAAACACAGTTGGTAACACGTTTCAAACGAACAGTTTCGCATTGTCATCCCGGTGCTAACCCTGGCTAAAATGTTACCGTTTTCAGAAATTAAAAGTTTGATAATGATTTGTGCTTTGGACATAATGACTGCTATGACCAGTTCACACAATGAAATGCATACAACCCTGATTAACATACATGCATGTTTGCCATCGGTTTTTACTAAGTTATAGTTAATGATATTGTTGTCGTTACATTGTTTTTGTAATATGACACTAATATGAATGTTATCGGCCCACATGGGACAAACCCTGTGCATGTAGCAGCGCATTGCAGAGGTGGATAAATGTGGTAAAATGGTTTTGATATTGCTCACATCAAGACAGATTTCACCCTGGACTTGCGTGAAAATATTGCACATCATTTGTAAGGACCTTGGCAGACAAAATCTGAGAACTCGCGCCAGGCCTTCCAAGGAAAGGGATTGCGAAAATGTTGGTCGAGTGACGGTTACATTTGGGACAGAGAATTAAAGAACTCAAAGCTTAATCTCAATGGGTAAAAGGATGCTTAAAAAAGTAACTGGAATAAAATAGTTTAGTTCAACCGGCTACTTTGGGCACAAATCGTTTGATACTGCACACTGCCTTGTCTATATAGAAACTGAAAGCCGTTGATGGAAAACGGCTAATGAATGTTTCATTTCCTGATGGCAACTTATCATGGTATGTTTTGGGGCTTCCTAGACCAGTTTTTGAGGAGGACTGGTCAAGCAAATATTTGGAAGAAACTGGAAACATACTTTTATTGGTTACATAAATTACTTATTGCCCTGCAATGTTGACAATGTTGACTACGTGTCAGTAAAATCTCAGGAATGTGCAGCTGATAGCACCTTTTCCCTTTAAACGAAGATTGCACTGTTAGTTAGGTTTCATGCCTAAAGTTCTAGACACTATGATAGCACACCCCATTTTAGCATGTCAACAATGCCAAAGTCGAACAGATGCTGGCGTTGAGCGGAGTCAACCGGTTCCTATGTATGCTGTTCACTCCATTCTGCTCAGTGACATTCACGGTCATCCATTAACGAATAATTATCCGCAGATGATTACAGCTTGACTGCGCCCCATGTCCTTGGTTTTCAACATGACTGACTATTCTAACGAATTTAAAAAGCTAAGCCGAAGTCAACTACATCACCTATGGCCGAAAGTTTTAGTTCATGCGCCATTTTGACTTTTAGCCATCCCAGGTATATTTGAATGCCAAGAATATAACTGAACGCTATGGACAGATAGAAAATCATGTTGCCCTCCGGTATGACCTTAGCTGCCTGCGATAGTTACGCAGACGCGGATGACCTCAGCCTGCTCTGCGTTGACCTCATAATTACATGTCAACGCATCGTTAAGCTGAAATGGGAATAAAGCATAAAACAAGCAGCAGTGTCAGGCAGGCTCGGCGCCTGCGGAAGCATTGTGGCGCTATCCTGCCATGCCTGAGGAGTATAATGAAACTTTTTTTCCTTACAAACAACTTCGCGTATGCATGCCAAGGCGCGGCAAAACGTGGACCACAGGTGCAAATATTTCTTGATGGCGAGTCAGATCGAGAAGGAGAGGAAATGCCATCAATGGACGAATATCTGGTAGGTCTACCGACCGAGCATGGCACAGCACCATGCGCGTACACCTCAAAATGCCTTTTTTGGCTGCAAACGGTGCAGTCTTTGAGTGGCAAGCGGACCAATTGACGGCACGGCGCGAGCGGCTTTGGCTTTGGCGTCTGGCGTCGCGGTAGAAAGTCACGCCTGCCGCGGACGTCGCGGGCGCGGTCGCTGCCTATAAAACTATGCCGCCCAGCTCGGTTGCGATTCATTCCAGCGGAGGCCGAGGCGTGCTATACATCTCCGTGTGATCCGGTGGTGATCAAGACCCGCACCGGAGGCCAGAGCGGACACCAGCCATGATCTATAAGAGGTAAGCGACCTCAGAAATTAGGCAAATGATCGGATACGAAATCACGGAAATCACGCTAGTGCGTTCGTGTTCTGCAGCTCAACGAAGTGCCGTGCCTACGTAAATAAGTATAGGGGTTTCTGTAAGTATTTGAGCTCATTCAAAATGCACTTACTTCTAGGTGTTCCTTATGCCCAATGATTGCTTCAATTACAGAAAATCAACATTTATTCGCATTTGATTTTGCTACACCCATCCTAAGCATGGAAAAACGTTGCGGGTTGAAACTCATTAGCGACATATTCTCACTCAACAGCCAGCAAAGAAGAAGGTTTATAAAACAAAGACGCCCCTCCGTTTGGAGTCCGATTTAGGAAAATCTTGTTAGTCTCCGTGGATATACAAAACAAACAGCACCAAGAGATAATACGAAATTGAGCTTAAGCATTCAACTCTCAACAGTCACTTTCGGATTGCTGCTATATTTATTTTGTCGAATCATCGGGCATATTGATCACAACTAGAAATGACGAATAGAAATGTGATACTCGCAGTTGAAATGTATACCAAACATTACACAATAGCTCTAGCATTGCTAACCATCTTTAAAATAAATGTAAGGAACGTATTCGTGATGTAGCTCTGGCACGGACCACGATTTCAAGCCTAGAGGTTTATAAAATTTCCCCCTTTTTTGCAACACCTTAGGCGACATGCTAATTCTCGGAAATTTGTCTCCCCTTCCCCACCCCTCCAGCAGCGGAATCTAAGTGCATGTGATAGCAAAAATGTTCTGGTCGTTTGCTAGATTATCCGACCAATAATTTTACAGTATGCTCTACACCAAGATTTTTCCTGAATAACTTCTGAACAGTGCTGAGCACGGTGCTGCTATCTTTAATAGCTGAGTTTGCATAAAAATTACACATGCTGTGCGTAATAGAGGATTCAGCCCTTATTGGCTCACGATCACGGCTTTCGGCAAGGCGAAGTCGGTGACATGCTGAACAATGACATATAACGCTTTTTCGTTGAAACATGCACCCCAAAGAGTTTTTATTGACTACTTTAATGAAACGCATCACTCAGAAGTGAAAGTATGACTCATTCTGGTTTATCTTTCAAGGTCAGGTTATTCAGTGCCAATCTAGGTCAAACATGAGTTTTGGTAACCTCAGTCAAAACTAAAGTTTTGACCAAAGTTAGCTTTTAAAGCTCATACACTAATAATGTCGATCTTGCAGTTTACCGTAATAACGCTATTTGACGACCTGTTGCTTGTTTAGTTCTTGATAACATAGCCGGATGGGCCAATACAACGACAGCTTTCATCCCTGTGACCTGCCATGACCTGTTACAGCTCATAACTGTCGATGTTTTCTGGTACCTATCGGACATGATCTCTCAAAACTTATTCAACATGGTCTTCCCACATTGCTGTAACATGTTTCGTCCATGAAATATCAGAGGGAGTGTGTTCCGTCAGTGCTAATTCGACCCGTATGCCTTGATTAGACCCATCAAAGGTCACATTCACTATTGATTAGTCCCGCCTGATCTTTGACGAGGGATTTTTAATTACATTTTCACACGTCTCTGGCCTTCTTAGCTTTCAACATCTTGCCGGTGAAGTACGCTGAGACTCCCAGTCGTGCTGCAAACGTGAAATAAAACGAGTGTTGGGCGGTGGTTTAATTTTCCTCCTCTGCTGACGGTGCAAGTTTTCAACTGCTTCCTCCAAAATAAATTTATCGTAGGGATGGCAAAGAACATGACAATTTTATAGCAAACTCAACACCATATCATGAATATCTGAAATATTTATTATAAGAAATGTTGAGAAATATCGAACTATTTAGTGATAATGTACATCATTTTCGAAAACCAGGCGAAAAACAGAGCAACAAAAGCAAACATGCTGACGTCTTAAGAAATGAAGGGCAAAACAAAGCTTAAACAATTGTTAAAATTCATAGTGTTTCGAGGAGCATTTCTGATATTGTAACCTTTACCCACTGGCCAAATCCCAACATTTAGCTAAATCTGATACCTATTGGCTGTGGAGCTCCTCACTGTGTAGCCCTCGAAGTCTTTACGTCGCGTCAAAGTCTTACGTCAAAGTCTTCAAAGTCTTCAAGTCAAACGTCAGCGTGGGTGATATTTACGAATGGCGGTTATCATACACTACATGATCCGACAACGGGCAAATATCTTGAGACGAACTCCGTAATCCGTCTCATGTCACTTCTCCTCGAAATCACAACTGCCAGTTCTGCATTTAAACCGTACCATGCCTTGTTTGACATACTTAAAGCCTGATAAATCATGGTACGTAGCTTGATCAACAGCGGGAAGCCATAAAACTACCCACAATGGTGCATTCTACACCTTTGCATGTTGTAAAGTCACTTGCGCAACTATCTGGAACGGGCACGGCGCCAAACTGAACGAAGCTGCCGCATTTCCAACGCGGTGACGGACGCTCCTGCTTCTTGCACTTCATAGTTCCCCGTCACGTCACGCTCACGTGTCCCTTCACTGGCCATGGCAGCACGTGCCCCCTTTCCCGCTGGCGCGCTGGCACCCGCCGTTGCGTGGGTGCTCGGGGTCAGGTCGCATGGCCGACAAGGTGAGGATGGGTTGCACACAGCTCCAGTGGAACGCAGATCAGAGGCCACGTATGGACAAGCCGCCGCAATGCAGCGTCCGGCCAGTGACGTCAGCGGCAACAGGCGGCGCTATCGCCCGACAGCGCCCGGCATGCATCGCTGGACCGACATCGAGGTTCGATTAGCATCTGTGCGATATCGCCGCACGCTCGCGGTCCACGGCGCATGCGCGGTCCCGGTCCCAGGATGACACGCGGCGGCCGTCCCGCTGTCCCGGGTCCCGATCCCGCCGCCGGTGGCTGCCCTCATCTGGGACAGAGCATAAGCTACGGGGCGGGCAACCGGTTTTTGGCAGTCGCCTTTCTATCCCTTCACTTTCAGTTGCGCCCATCGCGACCTTGAGCTTGACGGGTAGGCTGTCCCGGCGAGCATTGCCGCCAACCGGAACAGCCAGGTCGGGTTCAGGCAGCACCGGCTTCTGAGAATAGGCTCGGGCGGATTGGGCAACACCTGGACCACTGGATGGATGTTTGGACGGGTCCATTGGCACCAGCGCAGCGATGGTGATCAAGGTGAAACTAACTCCCCTCAGCAAGTCTGAATCTTTCGTCACTTACTCATCTACCGTAATCTCGGATGATTGTTATGCTGGCTCGAACCGCACATAACTAGATCACGGCAACTCTGTTGCCCATAAGTATAGCCGTGGTGCATTAACTTAGGCGTTAAAAGAAACTGGCTTCACGGGCAAGCCGAGCCGGCCGTGGCTGCGTCGGTGGCTAGGGATAGCGGATCGGGTGGAGAGGCCCCGAGAGGCTTTTTACAGTGTAACTTCAGACTTGTAACGTTTACTTTAAATGCATCCAACAGTGAGTTTTTTCTTTTGCATAACTTCCACGTGAAAAACAACACACGCACTGAGGACAGCGCCGGTCGTTCGATTTTTCAAGTCATTAATACTGCGCTGCCACTTTGTCATGAGAATGCCCCGCGCACTTTCCAATAGTCCCCTCTCGTATTCTAAAACAATGATTTTAGGAGTTTTGAAAGGCACATAGTTTTTACATGGAGTGACCCCAATTGCCACCATTGCACTGGGTAAAAGGATATAACACCGCAGGAAAGTATGGCGCGATATCTGTCTTCCTCGGAAATTCCCACACATGGAGGACGATTGCCAAGCGGGCTTGAGGGCGCATCACAACGCCGCAAATTAATGATGATGACGTTGGAAAGTTTCTGAGCAATCGATTTCTGCAAACGCGATGCATGTCAACCTACATTGCATGTATGCTGATCATATCTACCCCGGCAAGTGCTTCTATCACTCCATCCACAGACAGGTAACGATCCTCGCTGATGCGTGATAAGCTGTAAAATATTCTCCTATTGCATGCCAGAAAAGCCCCTAGCCTTGCCTCTGATTGCCTAGAGCTTAACCGAACCAGGTCAGATTGGCAGTTCATTCATTCACGATTCACAGTGGTTTCCCTTTTCCAGTGAATGTGAACCGTTCATTAGCTCTCGCTTCATGGGAGTCGTGAAGGGGGGGGGGGGAGGGGAGGGTCACAGGCCACCCTAGATCTTAAAGCTAAGCAAGTTAGAGGCACGAGAAAAACGGCGTTGGAAAGCTTTGTCAGACTGCATCGGATGGGTGTGTCTGAAAGTTGGTGCATGTGATCTTCAACAGGTCAAACCAGATTGAAGAGGTCAACTAAACACTTCACAGGTCCCTCCTATTAATGCAATGGCTAAGTATGCTCTGATTATGGGAAAGACGACGCTGAATAGCCCTCGGAAAATTGTCACATAGGCACTAGTGAAATCAACACGTATTACTTGCAATATGTCATGTCAGGTCGAGAAGGAAATTGTATTGCTCTATTGGTCCTTCTGGCTACACCAAGGGCCAAACAAGCCAAATCTGCATTGAGGACAGGGTTAGAAAGCCGCCGCAAGATATATGCCACTATGGTTTAAATTGCATGTCCTCCGAAGGGTATCATTTTGTTACAAAGGACAACGTTAAGCCCAGCTTGACCTCGAAAAGTCACCATAACAATAGAAATACACTTAAGAGTGAAATATATAAGAAATAACTTTTTTGGGACCGCGTTTCCTGAGGAAAATAAACGCTATTGGTCGCGTTTAAAATAAATGCCAGATACCTGACGTGGAGAAAGAGGCCATGGAAAGAAAACCATCAAATTCAAATACTAAAAACTTTCGCGGGATGTGCTAACATAATTTAACCCCAGAAACCCGAACTTTAAGGTCCGCGCGTGCTCAAAACCTTTCAGAAATTATTCCGAAAATTCTTGGGAAGCCTCTAAGCCCCCTTCTCCCCCCCCCCTAATGTGAGGTTTAAGAGCCAAGTAACCTCTCACCACTGGGGACACGAGAGCCAGGGTC